GTTTAGAAGGTTACGCGTGTCGTCATGGGCTAATGATCTATTACTTCATTTCTTCATTAACCGATTTGGTTAATTTCGCAGATCATCTTTTTGCCGATTATTGTGTCATTGATTCTTGTAGATCAATTCATATGATGATCATTTGCAGATCACTTTACTGCGTCACATTTCTAATTTTCTAAAGATCATTTGGATTACAATGTATATTATATATACAGTATATCCTTTTGATATTGTATGATACTATGCTTGTTTCACAATACTGGAAAAAGAACATTTTTGATCAAAAAAAATAATAATCAGAAATATATTATTTCAAATGCCTTTGATGTATTATCATTTAATTAATGTAATCAAAAAAAATAATAGGAAATAATTTCATTTTATTTTAATTTAATGTGATCAAAAAAAAAAAAATAATAATAAAAATACATCATTTCAAATGTCGAGATGTATTATCATTTTAATTAATGTGATAAAAAAAAAATTAATAGGAAAATAAATTGTTTCAATAATATTTTAATTAATTTGTTTAGTATATTAATATTCAAAAAAAAAAAAATAATAAAACACATCATTTTAAATGTCTTGATGTATTATAATTTAATTTATGTGATCAAAAAAAAACATAGGAAATAAATTTGTTTTAAATGTCTTTTCTTATCATTAATACATTTAATTGATTTATACAGTATAGGTTAGTACATACAAAAATCAGGTTTTGATCATATGATTTATATAGTCTCGCAACATGATTTTCGTACGTACTAACCCGTATTATCATTTTAATTAATGTGATCAAAAAAAAAATTAATAAGGAAATATTTGTTTTAAATGATTTTTTCTTAATACAATAATTTTGATATGTATTATCATATTAATTAATGTGATCGAAAAAAAAAAATTTAATAATCTTAAACAAGATTTGAATCATAATAAAAGAACTTAGAAAATAAAGGTATTATTTGAAAATGTATAAATATATATGATATGATTCAATAAATTTGTTCAAAAAAATCTTTCACTGTCTTCTCTGTTTTCTTTTACTTAAATTTCTTCAAATACAAATTTAATAATATCAAAATATGGCTGGAATGGTTTGAACTTTCGATGCACAGAAGATTTAATAAATCTTTATAATGAATATCGTAAAGAATTCAAAAATGCTCTGAATACTGAGCATGTTATTATCTGGGATGGGATAGCAACTGAAATAAACAATCATAATACAGCTCAAGTTACTGGCAGACAATGCTAAGGAAAATGGGTCACGCTAATTTGCGATTATGAGAACTAAGAAGAATAAGGGTTGAAAATCCTAAAGGATTTCCAATAAGAAGTCCAAATCGATTTGATGTAGCATTTTACCATATGATGAGGGATGAATTTTGGTTGCCTCAAGGTATTAATGATAGTCTAATTTAAATTTATTGTTTGTTTTAAATTAATATATATTTATATTTATTTTACTTTTAAATGAAATAAGATGCGCATATTGGAGGCAACGAATCGATAGACGTAAATTCAAATTTAGAGAACTTAGCGTTCTCAGAATCGATTAAGAAGCAGAGGTAGAGAACTCAGGCATTCTCAGGATCGATCAAGAAGCAAAGGTAGAGAATATAGGTATTCTCAGGATTGATCAAGAAGTAGGGATCGATCTCAAGGGAGGAATAGAAGAAGGAGAAGAAGAAGGAGAAATTAGTTTTAGTATTTGTATTAGTTTTATTTTTATTTTTATTTTTAGTTTTAGTTTTAGTTTTATTATTTTTTATTTTTTTTATTTTAGTTTTAGTTTTTATTTTTAGTTTTATTATTTTTTTTTTATATTTTTTTATTTTATATAATTAATTGAGTAGTGAGGTCCAGTTCATACCAAATATCAGCTAAAGACTCATCTTTTTGGGCTGTGAATTGGTACTGACATCCTAGTCTTACAGCCTGAGTGCTATTTTTAAAAAAAATAGTAGCAAACAAGTACTAGCTTTAAAAATAAAAATAAAAAATAATTAAATCATACGTCATAAATTATTTGTTAATTTGTTTAATGATAATACTCATTATTTAATGTTAATTATATTGTAATATATTTGGCTATTAACTTTTTATAGAAAATTTCTTTTTTAATTTATTCTCATTACTAAATAAGGAAATTTATATAATATTTATATATAAAAAATACATATATTTGTAACACAATTTCATTTAAAAAAAATCATCATAAAATTACATCACGCATATTATATTTATCTTTATAAAATCGAATTTAATCTACATATCATTTTCATTATTATTATCATTAATATCTTATTATTACTTTCATTATTTATTACCTTGTTTGATTTTATGATTTATAATACTTTTAATAATTATAAATATTTTGATTATGTAAAAAATTTATTTTATTTTAT